TAAAGATTTGTCCCAAATGGGAAAAAGTCTCAGCCTAAGTAGGTAGGAACCAAAAGTTAATGTGATGAAAAGTCTTTTACCCTTAAGCCTGACCTTTTATATTAAAACAATTTTAGAATTAAAAAGGAATTATAAAGAGCCACCAAAACAAATTCTCTCACCACACAATGTACAAGAAAATCCAAAATACAAAGTGGCAACTACTTGATAAAAAAATTATATATTTGATCCATGCAATGTGATCAGTAAATACCTTCTACAGAAGTGGAGGACCAGCTAGCAGTATGGTGGTTAAGGTGACTGGATCCCAAACCACCCACTGCATGATTTCAGTCCCCTACCCAGCTGCTTGAAAAACATACGTTGGGCAAGTGAGCATACATGCCCAGAATCGCAAAAGGAGGGCGAAATGGAGGGGAAGGCCTGCAGTGTGACCATTCCCCATGCAAAGGGCTTCTCTGTTTCCCTCTTGAACAACTGCACATGCCCTCTGACAAATTTTTAAAAATTTTTAAAAAGGGTAAAAAATGGAAATCTCACTTTACTTATTTAAAAAAAATTCAAGTATGTTCCTATCACTTTCTATATGTATTTGGATCTATGTCCTGAAGTTACCTTTAAAGTTCCTACTTCCTAGCTTTTCTGAAAATGTTCAAATACTGTCTTAGTAATGTTAAGTTCTTCTGAAATGCTAACCGATAAAAGCACCATGGGAGTCTGCTGAAAAATCATTGCCAAAAATTTTAAGTTCATTATGACTATAAAGAAAAGAGATTAATTATAAAAATTGAAAAAAACTGATTCTTTAAAAGAGGTGTTATTTATGTCAGAAATTCTTAAGGTCCCAGAATAGAACAATGATGGCTAACGACACAAAGAATAAATGTAAGAGTATGTACAGAATCAGTATTACGGACTATATAAATCAACAAACGCAGATATACTACAGAATATACACATTTTTCTCTGGATTTTATGCAAAGGATTTAGTTTGGAAATGGGAACAGTGATGGATCTTTTAAAATAAGTCCATTACTACCTCGGGACTTTTATGGAAGTAACGATTTCTCATAAGGGTATCAACACCTCCACAACATAAACTAAAAAAAAAAAGAACATTTGGCAAGGAAAAACTGAGTGCATTCTTCCTCTGAACTACATGGTTATCACTGTCCCATGTTACACCCAAACCCCTAAATGTCCTAGGAAGGCTACTCTTACGCTATAGAGACAAGGGGGGCAAGAAGTGCCCTCACAGTACTCTACAGTAACCCTGCTCAGTGGTAATGCCTGAATGGAAAAGTAGAAATGAGTGCATATATGAACTTAGGGAAGGTGTGTTGGTTAACCTAACACACTAAAATATGCCAACACTCTCAAGCTTTTAAAGAAGTTTTAAGAGAAAATTGTTAGTGAAAAGATATGTGTTTTTGGATCCAGATAATTTGGGTTAAAATTCTGGCTCTGTCACTTATTAGCTTTATAGTCATGAATAAGTTACTTCATTTCTGAGGTGCAGTCCAGCCTCATGAAGTTGTCTATGAAAATGGTTATTTTTTATTTTCATTTTGGTAACCTCAGCACCTGGCTGGGTGTTGGATACACACCAGGTATTCAATCAGAACTAGTTCTTTTTGGTCCCCTTACAAGTCTGTCACATTCCAATTGCAAACAAAAATGTTCGCTAGAGAACTGATACCTAAGCCCTAGCTATTATTTTATGTTATTTCAAAGAGTTTTCAGTACAATAACCTGCTACCAGAGAATGTAAACAGTCCTATGGAATTTGCTGCAGCTCTTCACTGAGTTAAACTAAAGCTTCATGGGACTAGCAGTTAGCTTAACGGCTATCTCGCTGGACTCCCAAGTTGTCTACTGAGGTTTGAGTCCTGGACCCGGTGGCTTAAAACTCACACCGGGCACGTGTGTGTGTGCGCGCGCCCAAGATCCCGAGAGGAAAAAGGAGAAGGGATTGCGGCGTGGCCATCCCCCCAGGAGGTGATTTCTTGCTTTCTGTGTCTCTGTCTTTCTGGCCAGCGTACACGCCCTATGGCAAAAACCTTTTCAAAAAAAAAAAAAAGCTTCATATGAAGGATGGAAATAACAGTCTTCAAAATGTTCATTGAAAATGCTTATTATGAAAAAAGTTTGCATGAATTTTTAATATTTTGCAACAAAACAAATTTGCATTTTTAAAATTTGTACCTTAATTCCGTTTTCCATTAATTCTTTGAAGTACCCTCATATAAGAAAACCACTAAATGTTTACTAAAAACAAAACTATTGTAAGTCTTGCTATACTGGCAGTAGGAAGGTGGTAAAACACAGTATCCTCATTCAGTTTGGATACTATTATTGCCCCACACCAAAGTATTTTTGTAGGTAGTCTCTGCATCCTAAAATCTGTTCAGAGAGATTCAGAATACATGGGGTCCACTACATGACCTCATGTGGTGCACTGTGTGAGCCATACATAGTCTTTCCATGACAGTTGAAAAACATAGGCACCTACAGTGAGAATCAAGCCTGAAGTTGTGGAGCCTCTTGGTTTAACACAAGACATAACCACAAACTCTAGTTGAGAAACCAAGAAAAACAAAAAAGTTCTTAGAAATTTCTATAAACCTGGGACCAGCAGTTAGCATAATGGCTATGTCGCTGGACTCCCACGTAGTCGACCGCGGTTTGCGTCCCGGACCCGGTGGCTTAAAACTCACACCGGGTGCGTGTGCATGCGTGCCCAAGATCCCAAGAGGAGAATGGAGGAGAAGGGATTGCGGCGTGACCATCCCCCCTGGGTGGTGATTTCTCGCTTTCTGTCTCTATGTCTCTCTCTGTCTGTCTGGCGAGCGTATGCGCCCTATAGTGAAAAACCTCTCCAAAAAAAAAAAAAGAAATTTCTATAAACCATAGAGATCGCCACAACCCAGTAGCCTGTTGTTTCTGATAGGTTTTCTGTAGTATTATGACAAAAATCACAAAAAAAGATGTTTCTAAAGAGATAAGACTCTGCTCCATATTTTCTTTGGTATTGTAAATAGATGGAAGAAAAATGAATAAAGAAATACAAAGAAACTAATGTTCCAAAAATGCTGCAGTGTGGTTGTGGCTCTCCTAATTCACTTTTAACTGGTCTTTCAACTGTCTAGAGCTTGCTTTAAATAAGAAACTAATGAGTTCGGTAAGCCTCCAACTGTAATAATAAACTACAAAAATAATTATAAAGATATAGAACATTCAAAAGTTGTAAAAATGGTCATAGTCAGAGTTTGCAGTGCAGTTAACAGAAGTGCTAAATGTGAAAAGTAAAGAAATAACTGCAGAATAAAAAATCTAACTCCAGAGAGACTGTGATAACACACTAAGATACAAGTTTAATTTCACAGCAGATCTAGATTTACTGTGCCCACAGTCAGACTACGTCAAGAACAGTAACAAAGTCTGGTTTCTATAAGAGAGATTCCAAAGCTTACGCAAAAGGGGAAAGTGGGAGAGGATATGTATAGGTTAGCTTTTTTTCTTCTTTTTTAAATTTCCTTTCAGGTTAGCTTTTAATAGTCTATTAATCAAGATAAAAGTTTAGAATCAAAACCAATCATAATTCATCTATGAAATCTGCTCTGGGACTGAAAGAACTCTGAAATTCATAATCTTAACATCCACATTTTCCAAAGGCCTTCAGTTTCAGTGATGCATTTGCTTACTAGAGAAACCACCTGCTCTGGTTGGCATAAACCATATTACTTGACGATTCGTGCCTAATCATTTTATCATACACCGCTCTCAAACCTTCTTTCTGTTGCCAGAGAACCTCAAAGTTCACAAAAACTCTCTCTCTGAGATTGCCAACCTAATCTTTCCATTTGGCTTTCAGTCAAACTCAACTGTGCCACATATAGTCAGTGGGACAGACCCCAGTAAAACAGCTCACAAACTACCCTGCAAAGGAGCAGAGCCACCTCTCCATTCAACGGTCACAAGCATATCCCCATAAAGTATGCAGAAATTTGGAGCACATGGGGACAGTATACTTACACACCCTTGGGGAAATAATAATCAAATCTCAGACAACATTCCAGACACCCTGAAAACTATACATGTCTAAAATGTGCATTTTCTCTGTTCTTGGATCTGTTACACCAGAAACGAGCCATTTTCAGGGAGTGGGGAATAAGGCACACACAGGTGAGCCCCAAAGAAAGATGCTCAGAAATGCCAGAGTCACTAGAATCCTTGGCCAGATTACATGGTCCATAAACCCTAATTTAGAGAACACGGGCCTACAAGTTCAAAATTGAATTATACTGCCTTATTAGATCCCACACGACTCAACCCAGTCACATTAGTTGTAACTGGAACTAGGAATACTTTATGTACACAAATATAAAGTGCCTGCTTATACATTTTTAATTGGATCAAATAAAACTGAAGCTGCAAACAAACTCAAATTTCAATTATCTCACTAGTGAGGGGATTTCCTAATAACGTCTTTTTAAAAACCAAGAAGCTGCCAACCCTTTGCACATCTGACAGGCACGTCCCTGGATATTTGGGAGCAACGGACCCTGTTACTTATCAACAGTGAAGAAAATAAATACCCTGAAGGAGAGAGTTGTTTTTTTTGTTTTTGTTTTTTTAAAAAAGCTCAAACGTGCCACTTAATAATGCACAAAACTTGGCAGCGGGGGTGCTGGACCCCTCCAGGCTCCAATTTTGGGGCAAGTGCGCGCTAATGCCTAAGAAGGGGACCTATGGGGTGCGCGATCGGTGGACTCGCCGGGGCCCCCGCCCCCTCCCGGAGCAGCAGCCTGGCACCAGCCCACCTCCTCCACCCCTGCAAACAGACGCAGGACGCCAATGGAGCAACTTCTCCGCGGGGGCGGCGGCGGGAATAGCGGTCACCCCTCCAGCCCGGCCAGCGGGGCGGGGCTAGGGGCCCGCAGACAAGGCCGGTCCGCCGAGGCCGGGAAGGAAAATAAAAAGTTAAGAGAAGAACTTACCTAAAATGGCTCCTGCAGCAGCCAAAATACAAACAGCTATTATTTGGTGAAGTTTAGCTCAGACACCCTACAAGGACACCCTAACCCAGCTCGGGCCCGCCTTCCCTGCCTCGCTATTGGGCTCCGCTGGCCCAAAATACAGAGTCATTGGTGAGCCTGACTGCCGCTCAAACAGAAGCCCATTTCAAGCTTGCTTGCAGGGGCGAGTGATGGGCTTGCTCCATTGTGCTCCTATTTGCATGGATGTGATCGCGGCTCTGATTGGCGGGGGCCGGGGCCGCCCCGCCCCCTGCCTCGCGCCCCCCGCCTGGGAGACGCCGCTTCGCGCGGCCCCGCCCCCCCAGGACTGAGCGGCAGGGCCACGGGGGGG